GCTTTTTTTAGTACATTCTGGCTAAGACAGTGAACTGGATTTGGGCCGTTTTAGGGGACTGTGGCATCCTGAAATCTAAGGCTGCTATCCTTTACCCACTTCCTTGGAAGGAAGCACCATTGAAATCAGTGAGACTTACTTCTGAGTAGAAATTATAGGATTGTGCTGAATTGCTCCTGTTCAGACAAGAACACCTGGTAATATTCTGAAATACACTGTGCTGCCTTGCTTAAGAGTATTTGAATTAAAGGGATGATCCCATGCTTGTTTAGGCAGAAAAAGCCCTACAGTTCCCAGCAGTCAAGAGTATTGCTTTCTGAAGGAAGGCTGTACAAACCCTAGACACTACAGTAATTGTTTTTAAAATGCGTTTACAGTTTGTTAAGTAGCATACAATAAAAAGATCTTGCTTGATGCCTGATCACAGTGATAATGGAAAAAGAGAGAGATGAATGAGAAGGAAAGGTTGGGTGGGGGGGGGGGATAGAGAACAAAACAGAATTGCAGAGTGCTCTAATGAAATCAAGTATTTGTTACCAAAACAGTTAGAAAATTTGCTTTCGAATCTAAAGTGTGAATATACATGATACACTGAAAGGAACCTCATAAGTGTCTGTCTGTAATCACCTCAAATAGTCCCATCCCCAGACTCATAGAAGACGAATCAAAAGCAGTTTGCATTTTGACATATTTAGGACCTGCACCCTTCTCATTGGATCCTTTAGTCTAGAGATGAATGTGTTAAAAGTATCGTTTACATCAGCCTTCCTCAACCAGGTGTCCTCCTGAGGCGATACTGGTTGAAGAATGCTGGGAGTTGTACTTCAGCACCACAGGGGGACACCTGGTTGAGGAAGGCTAATGTACACATTGCTGCCTCTAGCCTCAGAGCAAAGGGGAGCAAACAAAGTCTTTCTTAATGATGGACTGGCCAAATGGGTGGTCTTGGACCTTTAGGGTGTATTTTTTGGATTCTTTCTCTTTGGTAGTCTACCAACACATAATAAAGCAAGAAATCTACCCAAGTCCTGGAAGAGTGTTGTTCACATTGTGCAATAACTGCAGACTTTTTATGACCTACATATATACTGTTACATGATTTGTGGTCTTCCTCTTGGATTTGATGAGCTTTATAAGTATTCTTTTGACTAGCTATTTCAACAATGTTTATTAATTTATTCTAGTTAAGGTGGTTCTGTTCTTGAACTTAACTGGACTATATTTGTGCAGCCATAAAAAGACCCTTGGTTGCCCATTTCTCTGCTTTCCAGAGTCATTAGCCACCTAAATTAATTGTAGGATCACCATGTAACTATTTAGGGAAGGGAAGGTCACTTTGGAACTTCAGCATCTGAAATATGTGGGTCATCTGTTATTTTGGTGAATATAGGATGTATAGGAATAAGGATCCAAATATGAGATGGATTGACTCTGTAAAGGAAGCCACAGCCTGGAATTTATAAAAGCTGAGCAGGGCAGTCATGAATAGGTCATTTTAGAGGACTTTCATTCATAGGGTTACCATAAGTTGGAGACAACTAGATGGCACATTACAGCAGCAGAGATAAGGGATGCTTATGATATGGAACTCTGGTGTTCTGAAATGGGAGTATCTGGCAGACCTGCTGTTAATGAATTGAGACAGTCCATGACTTCATTTGGTAGAGCTTTAGAATTCAGTGAGCTTTGATGGTTATTTTTATAGCTGTCAGAAGGAACAGCTACTTGTATTGTGTAGACTGCTCAGAGAGCTTTGGGTGTGGAGCAGTATAGAAATGCAATTCATCATCATATTTTGGGACTAGTCGAATGCTTGCTGAGTTGCTTTCTGCTACTGTACAATGCAGCTGATCCAACTTTCTCCTTGAAACGAGGGCCTCATATTTCCATGCCAGCCTCTTCCAAGGAATATGTTTGACTGATGTGAAGGAATGTTATGTAGTGAGGATGCCTGGGACCATCTGTAAAGTATAGGCTAAATTAAGAGGAGAAGGGTGCAGAGTTGCAATAAGGAAGCTGAGCATTGGCTAAAATCAGGCAAAATGTGTCAAGGGCCTTCAAACAGGCGGCAACCTTTGTGGATTGTCCCTGTGTTTTAGCAGGGCTACATGTTAATGGAAATGACGAGGCAGCCTCAGTCCTGCACTAAGATCTGTGTTAAGTGCTCTGCAACCATGCTGGGTAAAGCTTAAATGGGGCTAGACTGTAATTTAGATACATTTTTTGTGGACAAATAGGTCCTGTACCTGGAAAAGCAAAAGCAAAGAAAATGAATGAAATGGGGTAGGGGTTGGAAATAAAAATGTGCGGGACATCACACATATGCTGCAGTTGTTATCAGGATCCCCTGGTGGAATATGACATATAAAAGCTCCTGCTACTTTAATAGGCATCCGCCTCTTGCAACTAGCCTATCTTAAAAAATTGTAAAGCATGTATTCCTTGCAAATGTCATGCCTCTGATGCCAGCATGCGTGCATTCCTGAAATGATGAACAAGTTTCCTGCCCCCTTCAGTCTCATTGTCAAAGGAGCCGATCTGGTAAAGATCATGAGAGGCAGGCTAAAATCTTGGGCACATTTTTATTCAGACTGACTGGCTTTTTAGAATGCGCCTTGTTGTTTATTAAATGTCAGTCCTGCTGGATTTCTTTCTTTCTTTACTTTAAGTCCTGCCTTTGCTCAGCAGTCAGCCATGATAAAACAGAGGTCCTGATTGGCTCCATGCATCAAGTGGTTTAAGTGCCCATTCAGTCTTGTGGTGGTGCTGTTGGCGCCAGGGGTAGCTTGAGTATGTGTTGAAGGGCCATCCAGACAACACACTCTGGACCAGTTCCCCCTCCTGGTGACCATTATTTAAATTAAAAATAGATGGTCTTTTTCAGACCTAGGAACTGCTATTCTGTGCATAAGGAGGAGGAGGTGGTGGTGGTGGTGGTGCTGGTCTGTGTGTGTGTGTGTGTGTGTGTGTGTGTGTGTACACGTGTATAGAGACTGGTTACTTCTAGCATTGCCTGGTGTCAAGGGAGGCATCATTCAGTATCCAGTTGGGTACTGATCAGAGTCCCTGGGCTTGCTCTTTCTTTTCACCATTGCAATGTGCTTGGTGAAAAGCACCTGACTTTTGTCCTGGTCAGTCAAACAAGCAAAGAAGAACAAAGATTACCAAAGATGAAAAAGGAGAGCAAGAACAACTGGTGACAATGGCAGTGAGAAGGTATCTCATGGAGGGAGAGGCCCCAATGAGGAAATCTTGCTCAAGAGTCATCAAACACCGACTTCCGGTGTCCTTTGCTTCACCAGTGCTGTGATGACTGAAAATTCTGTGGGGAGTGCCGTTGAACAAATTCATCTTCCTGCTGTCATGTGGAGTTTATTTTAACATGGACAAACCCTGCAGCTTGTTTATTTTGAATCCACCAAATGCAAAAGCAATGATTCAAACATTTTCTAGGCAACATATAGGGTAATTTAGGCAACATAAAACTGATGTAAGGTACTCTTATTATGGGGTAGAAAATAAATAGAAAAAGTAACTTATCCTCAACTCCTTCATTCTTGATTTGTTTAGATGTTTGTTTGTTTGCTTGCTTATTTCTTTTAGAAAATGGGTGTCCTCCTTTCTATACCCCCCACTCCCACCCCTGAAGTGGCTTCCAGAGTGAAAACACAGAAATGGGAGAAAAAGAACAAGAAAAACCCAGGTGCAATGCATCTATGTAAAGCATTAAATTACCAGAGCAAGAAGGGTATAATTAGGGTATAAACAACTGGATTGATTTGTAAATGCATTGTTATGGCAGGAGGTTAAAAAAGATTTCACACAGTGTGGAATAAGAAAATTCTTAGGTGCCTCCATTAGAATCAGAACAGCAGGGTCCAGCCAAGCCTCATATAGTAGGGAATTCCACAATCCTGTTGCCCTTCCCAAGAAAGCCCTTTTTTGTGTCTCCACTGAGTGACTCTCAAGGAAGTGAAACATGAAACAGGGCTACAGATGCTGCTTCTTATGGGGGGAGGTAGTCCTTCAGATTTATCTTTTTTTTCTACTCATTACTCTTTTAAGTGTTGTTTTTAAAGCCCTTTGCATCCCTCTCTCCATCTTTCACAAATAAAGATAACTGTTCTCAGATTGCTGTTTTTCTGTCTTGGATTCTAAAGAAAGAGTTCAGAGCGGGCATGGGGTTGACGCACACATTTTGAAATCTTACCCTCAACATGGAAACACTGCCCTGGACAGTAGATGGATTTATGAGGTGGCCCTTTTGAGGAGAGGGCATAAAGTCGTGTGCCAAGCATGGCCTCCCATATCCAGCAATCCTGTTTCCAGTGATTGCTGGACCACCAGCAGTAATTTCCTTGTTGCATCTGCTTGGTATCTTGAATGACCGGTTGCTCATCCTTTTTATCTTTGATGATTCTTACGTTAATCCAAGATGTGTAAAGGAGAGATTGCAGTAATGGGGAAGTGGTGTTGGCACACACTCAGGGACACATAGAAATGGCCGACCTTACAATTACCAGTTTTTGTTTCAGAAAAAGCTGTAAGGGCATTGGGTCTTGGACAATATTCGTTATTGACAGCTGGCTTGAGAAGGCTTGGACTTCTAAAATTGGCCTACAAATCTTTTCAATAAAATAAAATAACTAGTTGTCTAGGTTTAGTTTTTCCTTTTACTTGTTGTTGATATCTATCCATGGCCTCAAATAGCCAAATTAATGTCTTTCTTTTGTAACGTATATGATAGGCTATCAAATTAGAGTGTCATTTATTTTATTTTTATCCTATTATGTCACGGGACGTTGAAGCTGAAACGAAAAAGTTTCACAGCAAAGTGTTAAACAGTGGGCAACATTACAAGGAAAAACATGTTCACTTGACTGTTCTTTCAGACTTGTTAGATTTAAACACTGCTATGTTCCATCCTGTATGCAAATGAACTGCGTCAGATCACATTACCACAAGAGATCTACATTTGATATTATATTTCTTTCTCACAGATACTTCCTGGCTTGTTCCTTGGAAATTTTAAAGGTAAGATTAGTTTCATTAGCAGCAATGGTCTAGCACTATGTGTTGGTGGTTAACTGGGGTGTTACAGCCAGGGTCCTCTGGAGTGGTTGAGGGTTATCCTTGGCTTACCGTTGCATGTGTGAAGAAAATATGAATCCCCATCTGAACCAGTCTAGCTCTGTGCGCATTTCACTCAGACTGTCAAGTAATGTGTTTGCCCACCCTGTTTCCACTCCATGTGGCGCATCCTGTGCTGCAGAACCTTGCCTTTCAAGATGGCACCTGGACCCAATGGGCATATTCCAAAATCTGAAGAAGGCAGAATAGCGGCAGGGGTTGGCCAACCTGGTACCTTCCAGATGCTTGGGATGACAACTCCAAGAATAGTTAACCATTGGCTGTATGGGCTGGGGATTAGGGGAGGTGGAGTACAAAATACCTGGGTTGCAGCAGGTTGCTCAGCATTGTTTAATAGGATGTCAACGAACCTGATTTGGCAAATTTTAAAAGGGTGTGTGCCATGGGATGGAGCCCAGCAAGGGTATGCAGAACAATATGCGGGGACTGCCCAAGAAGCAGTACCTATCGCTCTGCCCCACTATCAGTTCGATGGTCATAGCAAACACTCTTTTCCAACAACCCAAGAGACGACTCTACACACGGACATCACCAGACGGTCAGCACAGAAATCAGATTGACTATGTGCTCTGCAGCCCAAGATGGAGAAGCTCTATACAGTCAGTAAAAACTAGACCAGGAGCTGACCATGGCTCAGATCATGAGCTTCTCATTGCAAAATTTAGGCTTAAATTGAAGAAAGTAGGGAAAAGCACTAGGCCACTCAGGTATGACCTAAATCATATCCCTGATGAATATACAGGAGGTGACAAATAGATTTAAGGAATTAGATCTGATAGACAGAGTGCCTGAAGAACCATGGATGGAGGCTCGCAACATTGTACAAGAGGTAGCAACTAAAACCATCCCAAAGAAAAAGAAATGCAAGAAAGCAAAATGGCTGTCTGAGGAAGCTTTACAAATAGCTGAGGAAAGAAGGGAAGCGAAAGGCAAGGGAGAAAAAGAAAGATACACCCAATTGAATGCAGAATTCCAGTGAATAGCTGGAAGGGATAAGAAGGCCTTCGTAAATGAACAGTGCAAAGAAATAGAAGAAAACAATAGAATAGAGAGGACCAGAGATCTCTTCAAGAAAACTGGAGATATGAAGGGAAAATTTCATGCAAAGATGGCCATGATAAAGGACCAAAATGGCAGGGACCTAACAGAGGCAGAAGAGATTAAGAAGAGATGGCAAGATTACACAGAGGAACTATGCAAGAAAGATCTTAACATCCCTGATAACCATCATGGGGTGGTCACTGACCTTGAGCCAGACATCCTGGAATGTGAAGTCAAATGGGCCTTAGGAAGTCTGAGCAACAACAAAACTAGTGGAGGTGACAGTATTCCAGCTGAGCTATTCAAAATCTTAAAAGAAGATGCAGTAAAAGTGCTACACTCAATATGCCAGCAAATCTGGAAAACTCAACAGTGGCCACAGGACTGAAAAAGGTCAATTTACATTTCCATCCCAAAGAAGGGCAATGCCAAAGAATGTTCAAACTACCGCACCATTGCACTCACGCCACATGCTAGCAAAGTGATGCTCAAAATCCTACAAGCTAGGCTCCAGCAGTATATGGACCGAGAACTACCAGAAGTACAGGCAGGGTTTCGAAGAGGAAGAGGAACTAGAGATCAAATTGCCAACATACACTGGATCATGGAGAAAGCTAGGGAGTTCCGGAAAAACATCTACTTCTGCTTCATTGACTATGCTAAAGCCTTTGATTGTGTGGATCACAACAAATTGTGGCAAGTTCTTAAAGAGATGGGAGTACCTGAGCATCTTATTTGTCTCTTGAGAAACCTACATGTGGGTCAAGAAGCAACAGTGAGAGCTGGACACGGAACCACTGATTGGCTCAAAATTGAGAAAGGAGTTTGGCAAGGCTGTATACTGTCGCCCTGCCTGTTTAACTTATATGCAGAGCACATCATGAGAAAGGCAGGCCTAGATGAATTACCAGTTGGAATTAAGACTGCTGGGAGAAATATCAACACTTTCAGATATGCAGGTGATACCACTCTCATGGCAGAAAGTGAAGAGGAACTAAAGAGCCTCTTGATGCGGGTGAAGGAGGAGAGTGCAAATGTTGGCTTGAAACTCAACATTAAGAAAACTAAGATCATGGCATCCGGTCCTCTCACTTCCTGGCAAATAGATGGGGATGAAATGGAGGTAGTGACAGATTTTATTTTCCTGGGCTCCAATATCACTGCAGATGGGGACTGCAGCCAAGAAATCAAAAGACGCTTGCTCCTGGGGAGGAAAGCTATGGCAAATCTAGACAGCATACTAAAAAGCAGAGACATCACCCTGCCAACAAAAGTGCGTATAGTCAAGGCTATGGTTTTCCCAGTTGCAATGTATGGCTGAGTGCTGAAGAATTGAGGCCTTTGAATTGTGGTGCTGGCAGAGATTCCTGCAAGTCCCTTGGACAGCAAGGCGATCAAACCGGTCAGTCCTAGAGGAGATCAACCCTGACTGCTCTTTAGAAGGCCAGATCCTGAAGATGAAACTCAAATACTTTGGCCACCTCATGGGAAGGGAGGACTCCCTGGAGAAGAGCCTAATGCTGGGAACAATAGATGTCAAAAGAAGGGGAAGGCAGAGGATGAGGTGGCTGGATGGAGTCACTGAAGCAGTTGGTGTGAGCTTGAGTGGACTCCAGGGGATGGTGGAGGACAGGAAGGCCTGGAGGAATGTTGTCCATGGGGTCGCGATGGGTTGGACATGACTTCATGACTAACAACAACAACAACTATCAGTTTCTCCTGTTTGGTCTTTTGTTATCCTCAGCTATTGGGTGTTATATAAATTAAAACAAACATCAAACAAACAAACAAAACAAATGCTTTACTTTCCTTAACAGAGCAGAGCTTGTGTGCACAGCCATAAAGGAATGGATGAACAATGTGCATGCTTTAGACTTTCTCTTGGGAATATGATTTCGTATTGCTGTAGGAATGTGTTCAACATCTGATGCCACTGGACATGTGTGTGGACCGTGCAATTCAAGCATGTTCACCAGCTGGAAATATTCTTGCTGTCTTTTTCACATATAAAGTCTGTCTTTGCTCAAATCCTTTTGGCAAATGACTCCCAAATCTCAAAACTGGCAATTTGACCTACAGTAAGGAGGTTGTATTGGTCTTCTGCATTGCATCCAAATAATAGATCAGGTAAGGACCAGATGGTGTTTTACTGTAATTCTCATCTTGCCTCAGATGCACAGTGTCCTTTTTTATTCTGTTGGAAGCAGCTGGGAGGCCTACTCTGAGTCAGGACCATCATTCATGAATGGGAGAGGCACCCCCCCCCCCACTGCTTCCCCTTCCTTAAGATTTATCCAGTCCTCAGGGGCTAATGAAAGGGGGAAAGCTTCATTGGAACAAGTGACTTCCTCCCTGGTGAGTTCAGGGGAAATTTGTAGGGAAAACCTTTCAGTAGGAAGGTAAGAACATTCGAGCCATGCTGCATTGGGTTAAAGGCCTATCTAGTCCAGTCTTGTTCGCACAGTGGCCATCCAGCTGCTTACAGGAAGCCCACAAGCTGCACACAAGCACAGCATCTTCTTGCTAATATTTCCTGGTTGCTGGTATACTTAGGCAAGGGCAAAAGCTTTTCATTAGCATATGGTGGTCCCCATCCTGTTTTGGACCTCCACTTATTTACACTAGAATAAAAAAATTAGGATGACCTACACTATGCATTTAATGTAGCATCTAGTTTAGCTCTCAGAAGTAATCTTAAACTATGGTTTAATGTTACTTGAATGAGACCACTTGAGCTGCGGGCTTACTTGCTCACCCATCCTTTTTTTTCTCCATAACGATTTTGAAGAGAGAGGGTTCCATTTTAACTAAAGTTTATTATTATGTCCAAACCCAGACAAAGTATAGGTGGTCTTAACTATGCTTTACTGAATCAAGCCTGATTCAAAATAAGGTTTATGGAGCTGACTTGTTTTAATAAACTGTAGTTAAGATTAACCATAGTATAGGTTGCAGATGAAATGTTAAACTGTAGTTAAAACTGAAGCAGAAGAGTTTTATCTCCTCATTGTAGTCACACTGGAGGAGGAGAGGAGGAGAACAAATGCAAGTCTGCATAACAAGCCTGGCTGAACCTCAGGGTCAACACAATACCAACACACCCTTCCCCAGTGCGATTCCCCAAATATTGCATGCTAAAATTCTGATTGGCACTAGCCAGGATAATGGTTACACATGGTGGGAACTATAGTCTAAAATATACAAAGCTCACCAGGTTGGTGAAAGCTGAACTGACTGAGGCCAGCTGTGTTTACATCAGCACTGAAGTGAAACTGTACATCAGTTCATATTTTAATTTTACAGTGTGAAATTTAGGAGCTTTTCCCATTCATTTCTGCTGTTACCCAATTTTGAGGGATGGCATTTTAGAACAGGCAAACAGTGGAGATACACCTGGGTCGTTAAGGAAAAGCAGAGTTATGAACTGTTACCAGATTGCTAGCCATTCCTCCAGACCAGGTAGCAGTACATCAGTTCAAACCTGAAATGAGGGCCACCACAATGACACCTGGAGAAACTGGTAAGCATACTGTAGCATCTGAGTGTGTAATTGCTATTTCCTTGTGGTTTGGGGGACTTGGATAAGTTCAGTGTCTTATTTGGTAGGCTGATTTTATTAGAATGTAAAAGTTAAACTGTATTGCAAATGCAGAATAAAATGGTGGGTAAAATAGCACTATAAATATAATTGAATAATGAACCTGGATCAATTAACATAGGATATCTGGTTCTATGTTTATAAGGCAGAAACACAGATAGGGACAGGCACAATCTGGTTGGTAGTATAAAGGATGCAACTTGCAATTCTGAACCAATCTGCTCTGTGGCACCAGCCCTTGGCG